CAAGTTGTGCTGCAGGTAAATCTGGTTTTTGCAATCACATTCTGGCTTTAATGATAAAAGTTTGCAAATACACTATTTATAATTGCAAAGATGTGCGAGATTTGAAGGATGAGGAGGATGAAAATCCAACCAGTGCATGCACATCAGCTTTGCAAAATTGGCACAAATCAAGACTAGAAGGTATCCGCTCCCAGCCTGTCATGGATGTGGTTGTTTCAAATCCTGCAAATAATGCTGAACGTGTCAAAAAAACAGGAGTAACTTGTCTTCTGACAGAAGCAAGAAAGGGAGAAAGTGATCAGAAGAGGAAGCTTGAACAATTACTACATTCTCTTGAGCAGCATAGCTCAACGCTTGGCATAACTCAAGTGGTTGATCCCTCGAGTATTGATACATCACCTGTTGTTGACACTCGTTTTGGGCAATGCCCAGTTGGGTCATTTGGATCGTATCAGCTTTCCTTTACTGAATCGAACTTCACATTTGTAACCTTGTTTGATGGATTTGACTGTACAGAACACTGCACAGCAAATGAATTCCCGGCCTACCCTTCGTTCCCATTGGATGATTTCTGCGGATCATTTCAGACCCCTGACAACCTCACTGTTAAAGAAATGGAACTGCTGAAGAGCTTGACTGTTGGTGTTATAGAGGCAAACAAAATGGAAGAGAAAACCAGAGAGCAAGCAAGTTGTGAGGAATGGATGCGAGAAAGAAAATTGAGATTCACTGCCTCTAATTTTGGAAAAATTTCTCGAAGACAGAGGAACCACACCAAATTTGTGGAAGATCTTTTAGCACAGAAGACATTTTCTTCAGCTGCTGTAGAACATGGCAAAAAGTATGAGCCGGTGGCACTGAAGGAATATGAGAAACATATGAGGAAAATGGGAAAACCTGTAAAAGTGTTAAAGAGTGGACTGTTTGTTTCTCCGAAGGTTCCAATTTTAGGATGTTCCCCAGATGCCAAAATCATTGACTTGAGCTGCAAAGACAGGTTTGGGCTTGGTGAGGTAAAATGCCCATCGTCGAAATTCCATGTGACTCCCCTCGAGGCTTGTGATGACCCTGGCTTCTTTATGGAAAACAAAAATGGGAAGCCATCTTTAAAAAGAAGCCATGTTTACTACGATCAGGTGCAAGGACTTATGGGCCTATCAGGGGTACCATGGTGTGACTTTATTGTTTACACTAGTAAAGGACTAAGTGTGGAGAGGATCAAGTTTGATCAGGACCACTGGAACAACTTATGTGGAAAACTATGTGACTATTATTTCAAGCACTTTCTTCCAGTTGCTGCTCTGTAAAACATAGCCAAAAAATACAAAGCAGTATGTTACAAATTTTATTGTCTAATGAATACTCATGATCTATTCATATGAAGTTAGTCGTGATCATAAATGTGTAAAGAAATCAAGACTACATTTGACTCAGATAATTGACGAACCCTCTCTAACTTACCGCTAACTCGAAGTAATTTACATTTTCCTTCAGGTCATTTTCTATATGATTTTTACCCTCGATAACTCAAATCATTGCTATTTCCCTGAGGGTTCAAGTAATCGGGAGCCAACTGTAGTTTTTTTTCTTTTTCTTTTTTTTTTTATAGAAACCAAATACCCTGACAAAGACAACTGGCCTTTTATCATAATTTATTGTAATAATAAAAAATACTGGCAAATATTTCAGTGTCAGTTGAGACTATTGAATAGAAAAATATTTGCAAAATTACTATATATTGGATTGCAATTTTGTAATCATAGCGCAAGTCTCTACGGTGTCTACATCACGTGGCAATGCACAATTTCAACAAACATCGTGCTGTTAATTAGCCCAAAAAGTTATTTTACAACTTACTTCTTGAAAATTTTACATACAAAATAAAAACTAAAAGGATAAGAATTGAATTAAAAAAATCATTTGCCAAGAGATTTCAACACCAGGGCCTTTTTCAGTTTTCCCTCAAACATAAATATTTTGCTATCAAAACAAGTTATGCACTTATGATGCTGTTCTGAAAATTGCATAGCATGGCACATACCGCCCACATTTGGTTTACAACCCCAAACAGGGTGAACGGTACTACACTATCCCATATATGAAAATTTTTAATTTTATTTATTGCCCTTTCAACATGAATCCGAACAGAAGCGATCGACTGTGTCTCAACAACTTCTGCTGCGCTCATTTGACCCTTGCTTCCCAAAAAAGGTGGAATATTTAGGGACACTCCAAGGGGTAGAAGGTCCTGAATAGTAAAGCCTTTATCGGCCATGACAGAATCTCCCCTATTAAAAGGCAGATTCAGAAATCCTGATCTTGTAACAATTTCCCTGTCAGAAATATGACCAGTGTATAGCTGGCTGATGAAGGTAATAGCACCTCCTGGTGAGATGCCAATCAAACCTTTAAGAGTTGTGTGGTTTTTGTAAGAACTAAAAAGTTCACTGTTAAGGCGTAGACTCTTGGGCATCTGGCATCGTACCTCAGTACAGTCAATAACGACCCTAGTTGAGGGGTATTTGTCTTTAAAGTCAGCAGGCATGCACAAATCCACTTTTGCTCTTGATGGCCACACTGGAATTACACTGAATTTTAAGAACATAAAATTTATCCATGAAATTATTATTCTGCTTACTGTTGTCTGTGAGACTCCATACAAGTGGCTTAAATGCTCCTCCTTGAACCCCTGCCTTAGTCTGCAAAGGGTCAAAAAGAATTCTTCCTTTGGGCTCAATTGGCGTGGCCTACCCTGCTTGGGAATATCTTCCTCATCCCTCTGACAGGGTGGGGAGGGGACATCACATGGTGAATCCGAGTCCCAGTAATTTATATTTTCCCCTTTCTTACCAGGATCTAAAAACGCGAAAACACTTTCTAAGACATTTTTGTTTGGGAACCCCGTATAAAAAGCGATATCCTTCTCCGAGGGCAAAAATTTCTCAATGCAGAACACTCTTGACTGCAAGGAATCGTTCCGGCGTTTAAGTTCCTCTACTTCCGACTGGAAATTGTTATTTGAAATAGTGATTTTACGGATTTCCCCGACAAGCCGTTCATTTTCAAGTTTAAGTTCGCAAATAAGAGCTTCCAGATCCTCAGCTGGTTCTTCTACTGTGGTGCTTGCCGAATCTGCTAGTGTTGACGGGGAGGAAGCGCGAGATTCTTGAAATGTCACTAGATCGCACGTGGAACAGTTGTCGACTCGTGCTGGCGCAATTGTCGTCTCCTGTGATTTTGTCGCGGTTTTTTTCAAAATCAGAGTTCTTTTCCTCGGTGATTTTCGCTTGATCGGCGAACCCTGCTTCCAAGGAAACAAAGATGGGACTGCCATGGATTTCAAACTCTTTTTACGGCCTGTGAGTGACGGTAGATAATCTGACGATTTGAAATGTCGCGAGCAAACTCTCGTGTGTTCTGTCACCTTGAAATCTTTACCCTCATCTCTTCGAATGGCAACGATCCACTTCATAAATAAATCTCTATTTTCAGGAAACTTGTGGTAAGAGATCTTAATACCATCTTCTTCGTAAACTTTCTTAGTGCAGCCAGGGACACAGCAATTTTGCGGCATGATGCTCTTTTTCTTTGCCATTAATTTACATACGTAAACACGAGACTTGGCCCTCGATGCCTCGTTTTCATGCTATTCGATCCAGACTCTCATCGGCCGCCGCCATTTTGGAATTAGGAGTATGGCGGTGCTCCTTGCTGTTTTAATTTGCTTCAGATAATATTAACAATGGCCTGGGAATATGGGCGGATATTTCTCCGAGGAAATTATCCGTTCCAAGATAAGAACACTTTTTCGAGATCGAGCGAAGCTCGAGGAAAACTATAAGCTTTGAGGAACAGATAACTGACGTCAAGGACAAATATACAAGCATATTTTCGCGCCAGTTGGAAGCTATTGTGTTTATCATCCTGCAAGTATTTTTGCAACGTGTAAATGTTAACGAACAGCTTGCCGTTTGTTGTGTGGGATTTTTTTTTTCAGTGTTCCATGCTACGACTTTGTAATTTAAAAAAAAAAAACACACACACACACACGTCCCTCTCGTTGTAACAACCACAAATTGCTTTCTCATCTTATATAAAATTTAAAGTGAAGACCTATTGTAGTGGATGTAAGGTTTAAAAATTGGGGAATATCGCTTGGGGTTATCCTTGGGTATTCTCTAGTTTTAGCTTGGGAGCATTCGGTCGCGTGATTGGTCTAGACCAATCGTACGCGAGAAAAAATATTTGATGGGTTATAATTGGCAATATTCACTCAACCTTCAGCGAAGAAAGTCTGAGTAAAAGGAAAGCTGGTCATGAGTAACAAGAGTGTCAAGAGTAACGTGTAATGAAGTTAAGTGGGTTTCAAATATTTACGAAGTGAACAAGTTTATGATTAGAAGGCCACATGGTCCTGACTCGAGGTTTATTTTTCTCATGACTAAACCCACATAGCTATACATCCCTTTTGGATCCATGACTACTGTGGACATTAAACAGTATTTCCTGAGAGTAAAGGAAAGGTGTATTTCATTAGTAAAGAGTATAGGAGGGTCTCAATGGGGGGATCAAGTTGACGGTTGACCGTTAAAAATAAGCCTTTTTGACGGTTGACAGTTAAATTTTTGGTCATTTGACGGTTGACGGTTAATATTTTAGAATGTCGTTTATAAAACGAATTAAACGCGCGAATTTGGCTGTAATTTTTCATAATGACGCGTTTGTGAGGAACTGGTAATCTATAACACCTTTTATAATAAATGACTAACGTTTTTCAAAACTGGAAGTGTTTCCACACCGGAAGTTAGTTCTGTTGCTGACAAGTTTTAATCGCGACGAGAAGTTAAAGGACTTACATAAATGTATTTCTGTGATATATCAAAACTTTTATTCATAAACAACAGAACTTGACTCCAGCTAAGGCAATCGTTTAGTTCTTAATTAAGGATATCTGAGACATTTGACGGCTAACATTGGCTTGCTCATCTGACGGATGACGGTACAAGTATTGCGCTTTTGATGGTTGACGGTTAATTTTTTTGGGCATTTGACGGTTGACGGTTGACCCCTTTGAGACCCTCGTATAGGAAATGCTGTACTGGTGTCGTGTTGATAGAACGTTTGAACTTCACCTCAAGTTATTCAAAGAGCTCTAAGAGCTTGAACTTTCCGGTTTATCATGTAGGAACATTTAGCGGCACGTTCTGCCTATCACAAGCCACTCGCCGAATGTTTGCACAACGCTTTGAAAGAAGTTTTCCAGGACAAACCAAAGGATCAGATCAAAATCATTGATGCTGGAGCTGGAACAGGATTGATAGGAGTGGAACTCAAGAAACTCGGATACACAAACCTATGTGCTCTGGACATCTCAGCCGAGATGTTAAACGAAGCAAGGAAGAAAGAGATTTATAAAGAATTTATCTGCGCTTCGTTGAGCGAGAAGCCAACTCCTCAGATTGAAACTGGGCAATTTGATGCTTTGATTTGTGGCGGGTCAATCGTTCACGGGCTTATTTGTTCAT